CTCAGCGTGTTTTAAGCCACTGGGTCTGGGACTCAAACTGCTTTCGACTACATGGAAGTCCAGTGACATAGCCATTACACCAACTGCTGGTCCCCAAATGTATTTCAATTCTAATGTTTGTGAGAAAGTATCATTACATTGGAGTAAATTAAAAGAGAAGAAAAGTAAGAAAAGGAGAAAAACTATTTATTAGGCACCTTTTACGCACAGCATTATGTAATACACTCCCACGACACTGAAGAGTATGTATTTTCCCCACTTCACAGATGCAGAGACAAACCTGGGAATAACTACAATAATACCCTCCATGTTCAATTTGAAGGGACTTCTAGGCACACTCAGAGTCTTTTTAGACTGGTAGCACTTTTTATTTGGTCCACCATGTTCTCTAAGTGAATGGCTACTTTTTCTTGGATTCAGATGCATTTCCTATATTATTGCTCCATTTCTTTGCCTGATTGGAGCTTATTTCTAGCTTACAAATGGTCCCACATGACACACAAGAAAAAAAGAACAGACTTTTCCTGAGGTACCTGAGCAAATATTCTGAGTAAAAATTTTGAATAAGAAAAACAGGGAGAGAGACGAACAGTTGGCATAATGGCTATGTGGTTGGACTCCCAGTGTAGTCGACCATGGAGTCCCGGACCCGGTGGCTTAAACTGACACTGGGTACATGTGCATGTGTGCCCAAGATCCCGAGAGGAAAATGGAGAAAGAATTACAGCGTGGCCACACACACACCCCAGGGGGTGATTTCTCGCTTTCTATCTCTCTGTCTCTCTGTCTTTCTAGTGAGCACATGCGCCCTATAACAAAAATCTCTCCAAAAGAAAAAAAAAAAAAGAAAGAAAGAAAAGAAAAACAGGGACAGACAGGAGTTAGAGAGGCTGAGCATGCATGTACTCAAGAGACTAAACATCCAGCTCTGATGGCACTCTGCTCTAGCCAGCTAGACTTCCAGTACATCCTTTGTCTAATCCGCCTCGGGGATGGTACCTCCCTCCAAGAGCGCCTACCTCTTGGACTGGGGCCGAGTGACAGCAGAGTGCAGTAGGTGACTTTTCAGAGACTCAGCTGTGCCAGCAAAGTTGGGTCCCTCAGATGAACACTGCCTGCAAAGCACCTCATAAAGAAGTTAAAAAATAAAAAAAGGGGGAACCAGCAGTTAGCGTAATGGCTATGTCGCAGACTCCCACGTAGTTGATCGCGGTTCGTGTCCCGGACCCGGTGGCTTAAAACTCACGCCGGGCGCGTGTGCGTGCGTGCCCAAGATCCCGAGAGGAGAATGGAGGAGAAGGGATTGCGGCGTGACCATCCCCCCTGGAGGGTGATTTCTCACTTTCTGTCTCTATGTCTCTCTCTGTCTTCTGGCGAGCGCACGCGCCCTATAGTGAAAATCTCTCCCAAAAACAAAAAATAAAATATAAATACATAAATACATAAATACATAAATAAATAAAAGAGCATTCTTGTGAGCTGGCACTGTAAGAGAAACAAAGTCCCGGACTCACAAAAACCTGAGGACGTCCATGGGCCAGGAAAGGGGATGCGAGCTTGCTGTCGCTCTCAAGTCACCATCCTCCTTTCCTTCCCCACATCTATCCTAAATCTCAGGGCTTAGGGGAGAGGTGGGCGCTGCATGGCCACCTTGTTGATTGGAAGACCCAAGCCACCCGTTTGACAACGCTGACTGCCACTACCTTGTTCAAGCCCGCAGGAGTCCCAGTGCTCACTCCCCACACCTAGCACAGGTGCTGTCGTGTGGCAGAAGCTCGGCTAGTGGATTGTGAATGTGTACGGAACTGCCTTGCTGAGGCTCCCTTCCTCAGGTTATCACGAGTCACCCATGCCCCTTTCCACTATTCTTTTACAAAGGTCCCGGCTGCTGCCCATTTCCAGGGCCTCACCCAGCCATAGCTTCATTCAAAAAGCTGAGGGATGCAGTGACGAGGTTACTGTGAAAGTTACTTGGTAGTTTATTTTAAAGGTAAAAGTTTGCTTTTAGGAACATGAAATGCATTACAAGGTCCCGAGGATGGGTTTCAGGAGGCCCACGAGAACCCTGAAATTTCATGTGCATTTTTTTCTGGACAGAGCTTTCCTGATTCTCAAAGAATTGTTTATAGCGCATGTGCACTCACCAAAGAGAAAGCGGAACACATGTGCACGGGCTTCGCATGAGTTTCAGGCCACCTGTGGGGACATGAACCACCATGGTTGACCACGTGGGAGTCCAGAACCTTAACCACTACCCACCCACTGGCCCCCTCAAAGATTCTTAACAGCCTTAGGAAGCTGCCTTAGACCAGCAGCCACTTAGAACACTTGCAAAAATTGGATGATAAATGGCACCAAAATCTCAAGAGGAGACTGGAGGAGAAGGGACTGTAGCAGGGCTGTCCCCGCTGGGGGGGTGATACCTGGCTTTCTCTCCCTCTGTCTCTGTAGCGAGCACACACACCCTATAGCAAAAATCTCTCTTAAAAAAAGAATCAGGGGGACCAGCAGTTGGTGTAATGGCTATGTCACTTGACTCCCATGTAGTCCAACACGGTTCGAGTCCTGGACCTGGTGGCTTAAACTCATGCCAGGTTTATGTGCGTGCGTGTCTAAGATCCCGAGGAGAATGGAGAAGGGATTGATTGTGGCGTGACCATCCTCCCTGGGGGGTGATTTTTCACTTTCTGTCTCTTTCTGGCAAGCGCATGTACCCTATAGCAAAAACCTCTCTGAAGAAAGAAAAAAAAAAGTATAACTGACCGCGGTTCAAGTCCTAGACTTGGCAGCTCGTTTCTCACTTTCCCCGACTCTCCCTGGTGAGCACGTGTGCCCTATAGCAAAATAATAATAATAAATTAAATATTTTTAAAGAGTTATTTTATTTATCTTTATTTATTTTTGAGCAGAGGGAGAGCGGTCCAGGACTCAAACTGCAGTCGGCCATGTGCAAAATATAACATATATATAACATATAACATATATATGTATATATATACATATATATATAATTTTTTGCCATATGGAGTGTGAGCTTACTAGAGAGAAGAGACAGAAGGAAAGTGAGAACTTGTCCCCTAGAGGGATGGCTACACCACAATCCCTTCTCCTCTACTCTCTTCCTGGGATTTGGGAGCATACATTCACACATGCCCAGTGTGAGTTTCAAGCTGCCACTGTAGTCAGCGATGTGGGAATCCAGTGCCATAACCACCCTGGCACCTGCTGGCCCCATTACTATTATTATTTTAAAAATTTGTTATAGGGCATATGTGCTCACCAGAGAGAGACAGAGAGACAGAGAGAGAAAGTGAGAAAGCAAGCCACCAGGTCTGGGACTCAAACTGCAGTTGGCCATGAGGGAGTCCAGTGCCTTAACCACCAAATCACCTGCTGGCCCACTTTGTGGTTGGATTTAAAATTAAGACAATTTATGTCTCTTCTTTGATAGAATTTGACTTGCATAAAATCATGATACCAATCATAATTACAGTCAGATACTGACTCCCAAGTAAGATGAAGAGGAAGGGAGCTAAACAGAAGAGGGAAATCTTGAGAGATCACTGGGTGAGAGGTGGCAGAGGGCAGGGAATGAAGTTACAAGAGTGCGTCTGTGTCTGCTGTACATAACAAGATGGAAAGTATTTTATTTGCCAAAATTCCTTTCAGGAAAGCACACTGAGGTCTTTTCAAAATGTTTATGGAAAATGTGTGACTATGAGAAAAATTAAGCATGGATTTCAAAATTTTTTTGTACCAAAATCATACTTTAATTTCACTTTTTCACCAACTTTGAAATCTCCTTATACATACTGTAAGATTCTTACCTTTTTTTTTTTTTTTGAGAGGTTTTCACTATAGGGCGCGTGCGCTCGCTAGACAGAGAGAGACATAGAGACAGAAAGCAAGAAATCACCCCCCCAGGGGGGATGGTCACACCACAATCCCTTCTCCTCCATTCTCCTCTCGGGATCCTGGGCACGCATGCACACGCGCCCAGCGTGAGTTTTAAGCCACCAGGTCCGGGACACGAACCACAATCGACTACGTGGGAGCGACATAGCCATTACACTAACTGCTGGTTCCCACATATTGCAAGATTCTTCTGGGAATGAGATATGAGACCTCCTGGCTCTTAAAGACACCCTCGGGTATAATAAAAGTTGGTTATTAAGTTGCCTTCTAAAGTTCATATTAGCAGACTTAAATATATATATAATTTTATTTTGGTATAGGGCATACACACCCACCAGAAAGACAGGGAAAATGAGAGAGCAAGGTGCCAGGTCCAAGATTCTAACCACGGTAGGCCACATGGGAGTCCAGCATCCAAACCACCATGCCACCTGCTAGCCCCTATTAGTGGATTATTAACTGAAGGGCTTTTTCTTTTGCTGAGCAGTGATCGATTTAAGAAGTTAATTGAGCTGGGTAGGGGAAGAAGGAATGGATTGGATATCTGGTAAGAGAAAATGATGAGGTAGGTGACTAAGCCCTGAGAGAGGAGGACAGAGAGAAGAAACCTCACTAGCAATTTGGCCAAGAAGGGTCTTCTTTTTATTTTAAAAATTACTTTATTTAACTTTATTTACTTATTTATTTAAATTTGACCAGAGAGGGACAGAGTGAGAAAGTAAGCCATTAGGTCTAGAACTTGAACCACGGTCGGTCATTTGAGCCCAGCACCCTTAACTACCATACTATCTGCCAACCCCCGTTTTAAGAGATTTTTGCTATAGGGCACAAGTGCTCGCCAGAGAGACAGAAAGCGAGAATTTACTCACTGGGGGGATGGCCACGCTGCAATCCCTTCTTCTCCATTCTCCTCTGGGGATCTTGGGCATGCACGCACACGCGCCCGGCGTGAGTTTTAAGCCACCGGGTCCAGGACTCAAACCATGGTCGACTACGTGGGAGTCCAGCGACATAGCCATTACGCTAACTGCTGGTCCCCCCAGTGTGAATTTTAAGCCATTAGGTCCATGACTTGAACTGTGGTCGACTATGTGGCAGTCCAGTGACGTAACCATTACACCATCTGCTGGTGGATAATAAGGGATTTCTAAGAACAAAATGTTTAGAAAAATGTCCGTGAACCCTTCTCCATCTTACACAGCATCTTCAGTGAAGTCCTTATTGCTCATGGATATGTGAGTAGATTCTTCCAGAGGACCTTGAAATAGTGCTGAATTCTCTATCAAGGCTGAGAATAGGTGAATGTGGAAACAAAATATGTGAACACAGGAATTAGAAGTTAAAAGGACAGGTGACATCCAGGTATCATAAAAGATGTGGTCTGTGCGCAATTCAGTTTGAGCTCAAGTAATGAAGAAAAGAATGTGAGAGCACATTGCACTTATGATCACCCAAAAGGACCAGGCAGGTCCTAGAACTCTCTTCTAGATTTTGACTGTTAAGAGGCAGGACCTGAAAGGACATGGACACTGTGTAACCAACTGTTTATTTGAACAGCCCTTTCCTCAAGTCAAAGTTATAAACAAGGGGAGATACCTACGGTAGAGTACAGAATAAACCCACTTTGTGGATTTGGGCTGTGACCAGTTGTTTCCTAGGACATGGTTTTCATTATATTCAAATCTGTGTAAATAGTAATCAAAATGTGCAAAGGACTTCAAATAAGGCAGTGACGAATCCATCTGCAGTACAGCATAGTGGTTAAGAGCACAGACCAGGGTTGGAGACTTGGCTCTAGCACTTACTGGCTGTGTGATCGCAGGTAAATTACTTAACATCCCCCCTCTGCCCCTTTTAAATTGGAGTGAGAATAAGCACAACACTTACTGATGGTTGTACAACTCTGTAAATTAATTAAAAATCATTAAACCGATCATGTAAAACAGGTGAATTTTATGTAAGTTATACCTTGATAAAGCTGGGGTTTTTTTCTTTAAAAAAGTACCATATCATAAAGATACTGTGAAAATAAAAATGTAAACTGTTCCTGTCCCTGGTATATGGTAAACACTCAATATATTAATATTAATGATTAGTATAATAAAGGAACAACTAAAGAATAGAACAATGAAAATAAGTAAAATTAAAGATGAAGAAATTATTAGGCTGGTTAAAAGTTCAGAGATCATTTAGTCCAACTCTCTTCATTTTACAGTTGAGAAAATCAGGGAGCAACAGGTGAACTGGGTCAAAGTCTAGCTCTAAAAGCAGACCATAGGCCTGCTGGATCCCCATTAGTGTAATTCCCACATTACCACTCATAATCTCAGAAACATGGACACATGAAAACTGGAAGATGTTTTCTGAAAGAAATAATATATAGCAAAATATAGAAAACACATGGAGAACACAAAGAAAGAATCCCAAGACCAAGGGGCAAACCAAGCAGATTCTGTCATGTGCTGGCCTGTCAGCCTGGGCCCCCAGCAGTAGGTTCCAAGTCATGAGAGCTTAAGTGCTTTGCCAAGGCTTGGCCTTGGTTCGTCACATGAACTGCTCATCACTATGGTCGTGTGCCCTGTGGCAGTGAAGCCACACAGTCCTCTCTGCTACTTCCTGACACAGGATCTATGAGCAGTGGCAGGAGTATATGCAACAGGATGCTTGGCCAGTCTGGGCAATCCTGAGGTGGGAATAGCTGCTGAAGAGCCACTTCTGCTCATGCACAGAAGTCTGGCCTCATTTGTCTTCCCCCTGGTCTTGCCTAATCAGCACAGCTGGATTCTAAGGTCTTCACTTACAATCTTGCAAATTGCCTGTTGGTTTCCTCCATCATGGCACTCCCTAAAAATGAATGAGGCCTACTGGATATGAAATGGCCCAAGATTCTGTTTCTTCATTAATGCTGCCATCTTCTAAGGGAAGTGAATCACATGGCTGGAAGATTTTGAGGCTAATAAAAGCTTACTAAATTATTTCAATGCTAAACAGTGGATAAGAGAATGAGATGGGTATTTTAGGTCATGACTTTGTAACATTTCAGGGGATAACATACAATGAATCATTTCTGTCGTTCTTAATAGGCGGTAGAATCCTATTTCTTCACTTTTCTCAAAGAGAAATAATTTAGATTAGCTTTGGCACAGACCTCCAATATGTGATCCACTAAGGGAGGTGGAAGGAAGGGAAGGAAAAGAGGAGAGAGAAAAATTAAGGCCCAAAACAGCTTTTGTGATTTAACTACATACATTGAAACTTCTCAATAATTTTTCAAGGTGCCTCATCTTTCTTGACCAACTGCTTAAACATCAGTGGAAGGACAGTGTCCATTCACTGGATCAGAGAACTTGTAGATTATAAACAAATGGATGTGTGATTTCAGCTTTCCCACAAAAAGTTTTCCCATCTTGCAGATCATTCCATACAGTGAACACTCTGGTGTCGGAGGAGGTGAGAACTCCGACTAAAGGTCTTCTGACATTCCTGGCACTCATAGGGTTTCTCCCCAGTGTGAATTCTCTGATGGATGATAAGCTGGGAATGCTGGCTGAATGTTTTCTCACACTCATTACACTCATAAGGTTTCTCTCCAATATGAATTTTCTGGTGGAGAAGCAACTCAGAATTATCCCAAAAGGTTCTTGCACACTCATTACACTGATGAGGTTTCTCTCCAGTATGAATTCGCTGGTGGACAATAAGATGAGAGGTCCGCCTAAAAGCCTTTCCACACTCAAAACATTCATAGGGTTTCTCTCCAGTGTGAATTCGCTCATGCCTAAGAAGTTCTGAGTTCCCCCGGAAGGCCTTCCCGCATTCCTTACATACATAGGGCTTCTCACCAGTATGAATTCTAATATGTCTAATGATCTCTGAGTTCTGGCCAAAAGTTTTCCCACATTCATTACATTCATAGGGTTTGTCCCCTGTATGAATTCTTTGATGTCGGATAAGCTCAGAACTCTGACCAAAGCCTTTCCCACATTCATTACACAGATAAGGCTTTTCTCCCGTGTGAATTTTCTGGTGTCTAATAAGGCCTGAGCTATGCTTGAAGGCTTTGCCACACTCATTGCATTCATGGTATCTTTCTTCAGTATGAATTCTCTGGTGCTGAATAAGCTGGGAGCTAACCCTGAAGGTCTTCCCACATTCATTACATTCATAAGGTTTCTCTCCAGTGTGGATTCTCTGGTGTAGAATAAGGGCTGAATTCTGACTGAAGGCTTTACCACATTCTTCACATTTATAGGGTCTCTCTCCAGTATGAATTCTATGGTGGTGGATAAGATGTGAACTCTGAATGAAGGCCTTTCCACATTCATTACAAGCAAACGGTTTCTCTCCAGCATGAATTCTCAGGTGCCTTCGAAGGCTTGAATTAGTTCCAAATGTCTTCCCGCATTCTTCGCACCCAAAGGGTTTTTCTCCACTATGAACTCTCATGTGCTGGATGAGATGCGAATTCTGATTAAAGGCTTTCCCACATTCTTTACATGTGTGAGGCTTCTCTCCCAAAGAACTTCTCTGTGTTTTGTTAGGTTCTAAATTCCCTATGAAGTTGTGGCCAGAGGTAGAGAACATACTATTTCCCTGTGCTGTAGTATCTCCCTGCTGTATAACCAATTTGGGGCTAGGACTATAGGATCTCTCACTATCATTATTCTCCTGGTCTTTCTCACTAGAGGGTGATTTCTTAAAGATAATCACCCCTGATGTAAAGTCTCTCTCCTGAGGAGACATCTGCTCTATAGTATCTTCTGTGGATTCTCTCGAATGTCCTTCCAGTAAGTCCTCTTCACATGCTGCTCTGAACTCATGACCCTGGTAAACCACTTTTGGAAGCTTTTCAAATATTGACCCAAGTGGCTGAGATTCTTCAGAAATTTCTTCTTTGGGAATTACCTCCTTGTTCTCAGTCCCCATCTCAAAATCTGAAATGAGAGAGGGTAAGTATGTCAAGTGGTCATGTCATATTTAAATGAAGCTAATGCTAAAGGGGTAATAGAGCTTTGACATAGTTCTGATGATGGTCTTGATAACTAATGAAATGACAAGATGTGGTAGAAAAGGAGAGAGATTTAGGATTATGGTAAACAGCAGACATGGACCGAAAAGAATGAAAAAATGATCAGGGAAGTTAAGGACAGAAACAGGAAATGAATGGTAAAGAGATACTAAATAAAGTTCCATAATATTGGGCGACTCCAAAGCACAGCAATAAGCACCACACACAGAGAGCCCCATCCCACATGGCCAACTGTGGTTCAAATCCAGCACTAGCAGCTTGACTACATGCCAGGCATGTGTGCACACATGCTCAAAATCCTGATAAGAGAGAGTAATAGAGGGACCCGTGCCGAGCGAGGTGGCGGAGGTCTGAGGGGCCCTGCACTGGCCCACCCGGGCCGGCTGCGGCCCCCG